GACAGAGTAAAACTGTTCCATAGAGTTTCTAAGGTTGTAAATCTTTACAGAAGCAGATCACTTCATCTTTTTTCCATGGAGCGGCTGGTAGGTTTGAACCACTGACCTTTTGGTTAGGAGCTGAATGCTTTAACCACTGCACGACCAAAGTTCCTTAGAAAGTATTAAAAGAATATTTAAATCCATGATAATTTACAATAAACCCTACCCTAAGGGAATATTGTACCTTGAGATATTGGCTAGTGATAGTAGTTTATGTATGTTTTAGAAATAAGTATCTTAAATAAGTGTATTTATAAATAAGGGGTTAAATGCTTAATTTTTTTTACTGCTCTACACTATAGGAGTCTTCACATATACTAAATCTATACTTATCTTCCCACAGTATAAGAGAATATATCCCCGCTCTTACATTTGTCCACATACAGTGAAACCTGTGACAGCCAAAGTCGATGGGATTGCCTTACTTTCCAGGTCTCTCGAGTTTTCCGCCTCTGACAGGGCAGTCTTACACTTTTCTATCGCTCGTTTCCAGAGGAAGATATTTGCGGTGTCCTCTGACAGATTTCCACCTCACTCAGGAATTCTGGCTTTTGCAGATTTTACTGTATTTGGCTACTTGCTGCACCAGACCACAAGCTTTTACATTCCTCTTTGCTCACTCCATTCCCTAAGAGATCTCACTCTCTATCCTTCACATCTCAAAGTATAATCTCCTTCAAAGGTCAATTCAGATCTACAGCATTCCATGAAACTTTCTTTTAATAACCCAGAACACCTCTTTTCTCCCTCTGGTCCCTACAGTACTTACTATCAATACAACTCTTTGGTTACTTTACATATACTGTTTGAGAATCACTGTTTCGGTGGCTGGTACTGATCTGGTTAAGTCATATCTCCAGTCTAATGAGGGCAGAAAAAAAAATATGGTGCTATGTATAAGGATTTACGATGGGCTAGGCCCTAAACTCTTCACAAACATTATTTCATTTAATGCTCACTAAGAACCCTAAGATAAATTCTATTACAATGCCTGTTTTTCAAGTTAGAAAAAACAAAGTCCAGAGAT